AACTGCTTCGAATCACGCGTCTCCGTTATTGTATTATAGGAATGTTATTGCAGGAATATGTACGAAATGTTCAGAATATATTCTCGGCCGTGGGTATCAAATACCCGTTGGAATGTTAAAGACCTACTTTGTACTTGTCTTGGCAATTAATTAATTATTATTGTTTCGGGTTATTTATAAGTGCCATCTTATTTATAGTTACTGGCCTTCAAGGCTCCGTTACACTTTCGACGCTTACGGGTTTGACTTGTGCTAAAAAATATTACGCAGTGACACAGAAGACACAGCCGGCTAGCTTACTAGCATTTAAAAAAACATCAGTTATATTTCCGATTGGGAGAAAAGTATTTTAAGATTTTAGTAATAGATTAATGTAAACTCGGCTGTCTGCTTCGTTACCCTGATATTTCCTCATTTCAATAAAAGCTTTTTTATTAAGAGAGACATTATATAATCCCTTTTTGTTAGAAATAGAAAACTAAGTAAAAGTTCGTATTTCTACAGTTTTCAATAAATTTATTATTCAGAGCTAGAAGTTTTTTTAGTTAAAACATATTACGTAGATCCTACATATTCTTAAAAACTGAATGAAGCTATTATAGGCTGCCATTACTTAACCGGGCATAAAAGTAGCTCTCTCATACGGATACGTATCTTATAGCAACGGGTAACTCCTACGAAAGCAAGGATCCTAACGCTAGATTTATCGACGGTTGATACTCATAAATACTCGAAGTGCACAATATTTTCGAGCCATTAGGACGTTTATTGAGAAATCATCGTTTTATTTTGTTGGATAAAACGCTATCTACCACTCTACATTCAGCTCTGAAGTTGCAACAAATTGTTCGTAGAATTTTGTTCGTGTAGGGATTAAAACATTGTTAGAGCTGGCCCGGCGGTAAGGCGGCGTATTCACTAGCTCTAGCCGATTTGAAGCAGATCGGGTGCCACTACAATACTATATGCAATATAATATAAACCATTTTATATTTTCTGGGCCGTAAATGCAATCAGACATTACAATACATACAATTAAAGGAGTTCAAATCAAGATCGATTTCTGTAAGCTGAAAATACCGGTAAGAAGGCACCCACCTACCTCATTTTTTATTCTAAGTTCAGTATATTATTCAGCCGTAGACTTCAATAAACAAAATTCCCAATTTAAAATATAGTTTAGCGATCAAATGTTATGACATTGATTTTCGAAGATCTCGAAGCGTTTTTGAACATTTTGTCATATTTATTATGAGATTTAAACGTACATTAATTACATTTCAAATTAAATTAAAACTAAAACTGGCTGTTTTTTTATATTGCATCTGTCAAATGTAGGCAGCTGTCAGCCAATGAATAGGGCTGCTATCTGGTAAGGCAGCTGGCAGCTCGGAAGTCCAGTGGGTTGTTCAATGCCTTTATGTAAGTAAAAGTATAAAACATTCTTGTATAATATGCCTTAATACTTAGCGCGGCATTACATTGTATCTGTAACAAATGTGCTTTATATGATACCGAACAAATTTTGTTTCTATTTGCTTCGCTTTCGTTTCGCAAAGTATTAAACTATCTTACACAAACGTATAACAGTTAGTACTATACTAAACTACATAGCAGACAATAATCAATAATAATATTGTTTTTTTATCGAACTAAGTTAAATTATTGTGTAGTGTATGGATAGGGTATTATATTAATTAAGCTCATAGCAGTACTTTATTTTTGCGAGGAAGATAAAAAATGTAATCTCTACAAAAAAATTACAACCGTTTTGGGTAATTTCTTCAAATTAATCCTTTTGGAAGCAAAGTGAATAACAAATAAACACTCGAAACAGACATCTTAAGTCGTGGTTTTGCGTCGCTCTAGGAAATAATTTGGAGACGTTGAGGGAACTTAGGTCTAGTCCAGCTAACTTGCCAATCGCTCCTCCGCCAATCGTGCCTACTTTTTAATCGACTTCAAATATCGATGATTTTCTAAAGTATTCTGCTTTCGTAATTAAATCCTTCTTGGGCCGATATTGGTATTCGGGTAGTGATATATGTCTTCCCGGACTATCTACAAAGCTAATACGTTATATTATAAAACAAACACACGTATTTTTAAGGGTCTTATGTCTGTTATACTTTGAAAAACTACTACTATGCAAACCTGCCATGAAAGGGTTCCAAGTACGTGCCGACTCATTATAAACAGGAACTGTCTTGCCTACTCATGGTTTTAATGTGGCATTTTCGACTGATTTTAAACTACCTAAGCTTCTTTCCCGGCAAAAGATATTTTGTCGGTTGTGACCAAGCTGATGACATGATGATTAGGGTTTAAAAATTATTTTTCCTCTCTAAAGTACTATTTCAGAAAAATAAACAGGTCCTTATTATTTTTACATTTAATGAATAGATATACTTTTAGATTTCGGATTGCAAATAAAGCAAACTTTTCAAATATCTCGAAGTTTCATACAAAAACGGCATCGGTATTGCTATCTCTACTGGAAGTACTAGACTAAAGAAAAACTAAGAGTTGTCTAACTAATGTAAGAGCAAAAACTTTATTAAGCCAAGAGCGCTTCTTTAAAGTCGTCAAGTGGTTTCCATAAAATATAATCTTATTAATTTGTTTTCATTTTCTATTAATTAACTTGTATTATTATTATTACTGTGTAGGTTAAGAACATTATATATTAGATATATCGTTTTATTAAAATGGTTAGTACAGTTTAATTTAAAACTTTTTTGTACGAAAATCTAATAAATAGAACATTAATTCCAAAGTAAAATGCGCGTTTGAAATACATAGTAAACCCCCTACATGTTGTCTCTTTAAATGCAAACTGATATCCACCGATAGTACATTTTGCATATTATCTGAATGCCTACTACCTATTCTAATGTTCCAATCCCAAATTACCACTTTTGCACTTAAAAATGTTTATAAAACAAGAACTCTTGCGGGTGCAATTGACCTGTCGCTTCCCTTAGATGTGTGTGAATGTTTTAAATATTTTCGGCTTGTAAAGCTCCTTGATTAGCAAATTACATCAATATAAATCCAACTTGTCTATAAACAAGAGGCCGAAAATGCATCGCTTCGAAAAATAATTTGTATTCGTGTTTGGTCGCAATCCTTCCCATTATTTATTTAAGCGGCTTTAAATTCAGAATTCATTGAATTATTTCATACATAAAAAAGAAAATAAGACCATTTGTACATATTGTGTGGAATTTTATTCGGAATAAATTATTATCTCACAGATATTGCTAGAATTAAAAAAAGTTTACTTAACGAAAGAAATGTTAAGAGCATCACCGTTAGACTCGTCTTTACCTAGAATAGATGGATCAATAATACTTAATGTTGTATTATACCAGACTGCTTAAAGTTATTTATTTTAATCTGAAAGGAAAAGTTTAATATATTTTCGCTGTCAGAACTCCATAGTAATTATTAAAGTTAAGATTTAGCCAATGCGGTTCTCTGAGATGAGAGAAGTCAGACACTTTAGAATGTTGAAAATAAAACAGTATAGTTTTTTCTGCACGCTAAAGGATACGAGTCAATTTGACACATTCACTCATTATTTTTCTAAAACCTTATAAAGGTTTTCAGCCCGTTGTGTATTTCAACCCAGAACAATTTTTTTCCGAGCTCAACAACAGTCAATCCCAAGGCCTTCGGGAATCACCCATTTGATATTCTAATTCCGTGAATTGAGCAATGAAGACGCAACCGCATTAAGATAAATAATTGAATTAAATTCTAGATTATTGTTAATAAAGCATAGATTTTGCTTAATAAAAGGTATGCTAAGGATAAAAAGAAACTTCTATCCGTATTACATTTGTGTTTGTAAGAAGTCCCTACATTATTTATTAGAGTTTATATTGAGGGTAGACATTTTGTAAATCTTCAAAGTAGATAGAGGCCTCGACGGAAACTAGTTACAAATATTCCATGAGTCGCTTTGCATCAGTATCAGCCCGTCTCACTCCGGTATAAATTACATTGAACAAAACTGCCTAATTACGTAGTTTCTGCGAGTTCAGTGCTGCACAATGAACGACTCGTGAACCTCATAATATTGCAGTTTAATTACTTTCGTTGTTATATATTTTTGGTTCTATTATATTCTAACCACCCTTTATTACAGTTATGTTGGGCTCTCTGCTAACATAGGATATCACATGCCACATTTGTGTCACACATGTTCTGATTCTAATTTGTAAACAATAGATTTGATTGAAAGAGCTGTCGAGAGCTATGTTAAAAGTGTGCATTCGCCGAATAGCTTTAAACTCCTTTAGCAATACCTATTGTGTAAATAGTGAGGGTTATTAGTGAATGCACATGGGCACTGACACAGGCGCATAAATCGATTTAAGCTTAAATTCAATCACATAATATATCACATAATCTCTTTTGAGATTAAATATCTATAAACCTAAATGTTGGATAGGTTCTCGTTACCCACTCGGCGCGGAAACATCGATTACGCAAGCTCCGCTCAAAAATTCGAAAAAGCAGTGAAAAGTGTTTTAATGTAGCAAAATTATATATCAAACGACGCGAGAAAATACAGTGAATACAGTGGTTGGTGTTAAAAGACTTATAATTCGATAAACCATTTAGAATATAAATTAACAACAAACGCCTGAAATCCTCACCTACTGCTAGTGATTGCACTGTGTTGGGCCAAAACAAGGCGTAAAATATTATTATTTTATAGTTAAGTGTCTTAAACGTAAGTGACACTCACAGTTAATAATGGAAAGTAAGACTGTGACTTAGAATAAATGACGCGCCTTCACCCTTGAGCTTCTGTTGGTGTCATCACGCTGCGTATATCTACCCTCAAGTGGAAGAAAAAAATAAAAATAAAAGTTACTTAAAAAATAGTGAGAAATAGAAAACTAGGCAACGGAAAAAGTGTAAATACGTATAATAATAATTTGAGGATAACACTTATACAATAAACACTTTAAAATTGTTTTTGCAACATGAGTACTACCGGAATGTCAGAAGATATGGTGAGGATATTCCAGATGATGAAATCTGAACTCGACCAACAAACCGCAACTATTACAAAGAACGTAACCGAAAATATCATGCGCTCTATAGATGAAAAATTGCAATCAATTTTGGAAGAAAATATATGCCTAAAAACCGAGATACAAAAATTTAACGAAAAGGTGATACATTTAGAAGATAAAAATAAGAAAAATAATTTGATCCTACACGGTATTAAAGAAACCGAAAAAAATCACCAAGAATTACTTAACACAATAAAAGAAACCTTGAATAATCTAGATATTAACATCGATAACTACGAAATACATAACTACTATAGACTGGGAAGGAAACAAGATGAGGGAAAAGTAAGATCGATACTTATAACTTTTACGTCATTCCAAAAAAAGATAACAATATTGAAAAATAAGATGAAAATGCCTAAACAAACGTTTATAACTGAAGATTTTTCCAAAGATGGCACCGATTGAATTACGTAAAAACCTGGAAAAAAAACAAAACGGAAAAGACAAGATAAGCATTCATTCGAAACAATAAAATTGTAATAAGAGAAAGTTCAGATACAGAAAAAAGAAAGAGAGAGACCTCGACGTCACCTGACAACATACACTTCGGTGGCTCGAAAAATATCATTGCTCCTCCTAAACTGCACAAAACGAACGCATTTGAGTATATGAGGGCAATATCCTCAGCTTTAACTGAAAAATCATCTCAGAAATATAAATTATAGGAATTAGCAGACACCGGTAAGGAGATTAAGATTAAGATAAATAATTCAAGAAAAACTTTAAAGAAACATCTTTCAAGACGGCTGGTCACCGCGAAAGATTATATGACCAAAACCCTCCAAGGACATCATCACCATACCACAAAAAACAAGCAATGAAAAAGTTAACGAAGGAAAATCACCATCTTTATATAATAACTTACAACGCTGGAACGCTTTCATCATACGAAAATATATTAGAAATAGAGAAAGCGCTAGAAGGTATAAAATACGATATAATTGGTATTTCGGAAGTCCGACGCCTCGAAAATAAATTATAATAGATGAATACATTAAAAAAATCGCGGATCCTCACTGGGTCCAAATAGCTCGGGATAGAGAAAGATGGCAAGCCTTGCTCTTCAAGGCCTTTACCGGAGAGGGTTCCTGATACTTACTAACTGTAAAAGATATTCACTAACACATGAGATAATTAGATATTTTTGTGTTAGGAAATAAGATAAGGCTTAAAATAAATTAATAAAATAAACCTAAATGTAACATTATAAATAAACTTATATTTGAGAGATTACAGTATAAAATAACTGTAATCTCTCAAACATTAGTTTATTTATAATGTTACATTTATTGATTAATTTTGCAAATCGCCCCATTTCACACCATATTATATTGAATAAGAAATTAATTTCATAATTTATTTTAAAGCGGATCTAGAAAGTCCTTCTTTTAAATAATTATGAAATTTACAAAATTACTAATTTTGATAATACCATCCACATGTTCTAAATGTTTATCATAATTATTAGGAGTACATTACTTCGGTAAACATGGACGAAAATCACCTTTAGAGGATAAGACTATTTAAATAAAATGTGTTGTGTTGAACAGGATGCCATTATCCTCGATACTCAACTCGCATAATGTAATGCATGAGAATTCGGGATCCGATGTAAAGGTAAAGTAAGTTTTCTGAATTTAAGATTAGCTCATTAGAATAAAGAGCATAATACCTCATACAAAATCAATGAGGGACAGGACGGTTCTTTTATAACTTTCAATAAAACGCTCGTATCAGACTGAAACAGGTCGAAAAGACATATTGTATAATAAAACGTTATTTTTGATATACGTTCACTCTTAAAATAAATGAACGCTGACATTAATTTATTCTTAATTATCAAACTTCAGAACATGCGGTTCCACACTGTGCGAACATTGGTCAGATCTAACTAAGTCATGTGAATGTAGAATTCACAAGTAAGTCGCATATGAGAAGGCCTGCAACATGGACTTTATATATTCAACTTGTTTGTTGGTTTCTCAATTACTCGCAATTGCGAGAGTTGCATCAGTTGTTCGATATATTTTGGTGGTAAATAACTTTATCGTGAACTTTGATAGTTGGTTCATAGTTGACGAAACAATAGTAGCTATTCGTAGTCTCGTTTGTTTAGACTTTAATTGAGATAGAGTGCATCGAATGATCTGCTTATTATTAAGGAACCACCATGCCTCTATATATTGAAGTCAAAATAATAAAATAACAATCGAAACATATTAAACGACAAGTTATTAAAAGAAAAATGCAGTTTGCATTTGATAGCATCGATAATCTAAATACAGATACAGAGGTTTTCGTATTTCGTCCCGAAATATTCACACGTTGCAATGGCACGTGTGATAGATCATGTATTCGCATGGAAGTAATGACGTCACAGTATAAAACAAAGCCCCTTTAACAAAATATTCACGTTCAGATTCCATATAAAATTTAAGTATAAAATTTTACTATCAACCAATTGTGTATAATCTTATTTCGATTTGAATTCTCTTCACGGTAAATAGGGACTTAAGATTTTTTTAATAATACATTTAATTTCCGGAAACAACGCTGTAAGAATTGAACATGATCATTCCTACGTCGTATCTGTCATAGTACACAGTTGGACGTGGAATGCATGATTATCGTAAGCTATCGTATATAACATTTTTCTACAAATTTTCATATTTATTATAACGATAACTACACGCTGTCAAATTCATATTGGAAAAGGGGTTCGTAATGAATAGTCATCTTCACTTCGCGAGCTTTTTGAATGTGTACCTGTTGCCTTTATTTTTACCCTAACTGTGTTACTAATGATTGTTTGAGGCAAGACGATCTATGAACCAATTCATAACTGAGGCCTTTTGGCACTCGCCCGGCGAGCCGAAGATTCTGGGAGTTCTGAGCGATCTAATATTCCTTACGACTAGCAGCTTACATCCCTTGTTGCATATCGATGAGATGTTTTATATATTATATATTATATATAAACAATAAATCGTTTCAGGCCAGGATATAAGGATATATGACAATTAAAAGTGAAAGGAAGAAGAATAATTTAGAGGTGGCACCTATGTAATTAATAAAATGGATTTTGATTTGATCACGCATGTTCATAACCCATACTCTTTGACATTATAAAAAGTTACACTGTCAAACTGTCAAAACTGTCAAAAACAAAAATTTAAATTTTCCCGGATAGCAAGCAAAAAATCCATTGAATATCCATTCCATATTTTTTATTCAAATTGATTGGGTTACTGTAAAGTGCATTGCGCTGAAACCGCTCTTTTTTGATTTATCAATTGATACATTCATAACTCAATGTAGATCACATTATCCGGCCAAAGTATCTAAACAAGTATAGTATTTTTATTACATCCGTCCGCCATTATTCGCACCTTACCTTTTTGAAACAGGTTTTGGTCTTAACAAATCAAAGTAAGCCTTTCCGCCGACTAACTTATGTCAAAAATAAAGCTGTGTTTTGAAATCGAAATTCAATACAAACAGATCCATAAAGATAGTCGTTGTTATAGTAGTCGGCTTTCCGAAAATGCATTGGAAATTAATCGACCAGCGAATTCGTGTTCCTGAAGTCAATGGACAATATCCGATTATTATCAATGCTAAGTCTCTGTTGGTGTTTCGATTTAGCCATCAAGCATCGAGTCAATGCTCCTTTGTCCGCGTAATGAGCTTGGAGTTTCCCAATCAAGATCAAGATATTATTATTAGCAAATTATTACTATACACTGACATTAATTAAAGTCTCAACGCATCGCAATGTAATAATAATCTATAGGTACGTAATAAATATGCTATCAAACAAAAAACTCTACTCATACGACCCCAAAAGTATTAATAGCAAAGGTAATATTTCATAAACACAGCCATTTCCAGCGAAAACCATTTCTAATTTTCTTGAAGACTAAATAAATAAAATACGAGCTAACCTTTTTTCTCGATTCCTAACCTAAAATTTGCATGTCTACGGAAGTCATTTCGCCCGCAAAGCTGCGATACATTACGGCGTCCAAAGCCTTAATCATTCACTTGCTTTTGTTTAAAGCAGCCTTCTGGAGATCCTGTTATTGTTATTTAATAGCGTATAATACGATTTTCACGTAATTACAAAACAACATTTCTATTGAGATTTTTTAAGTCAAGAAAACATTTAATGGCTCATTGGTCAAGCGCTAGTATTATTAAATAAGTAAAACTTCAAGACAATCGAAAATTGTTGTGTCAGTAGGCACTAAAGACTGATCACATATTTACCTATTAAGAAAGATGATGATGTCTGCAGATCACCAGCCAAGAGTCATGTATATAAAATATATTTTTTTCCCTGTATGTTCGTAACTTATCTTCAATTTATAATATACTCCATTTATGTAAACTTATTTAATTTTTTATTTATTTATTTAGAATTTTTAGGTATATATTTTAGTCCTGATACTTAATGGCTATGATGACTAGACATTTGAACAGAGTATAACATGCTGAAAATGTTTTCTGAGCCAGTATTTTATTATTTTATGTATATATTTTATTTAAGTATGCTCGTTTAATAAGTTAACCCTTAATGATGATTCTCTTTATTAGCAAGTTGGTGAGCAGTCGTCTGTGCTGACCAACACGAAACGTTTTCTTGATTTGAAAATATTTATATTAGTTTTTAAAATTACATGGAAAACATTACATGAGTAGGTTTTTTTTCAACTTTTATAAAAAGCATTTTTTAATTAACCTTATTACTATTAATGTACGGACAGGCACATTAATTATCTTAAATAAATATAAACGTTTATATATATATTTGTTGCAGGCTACTATTTCAAATGTTCTTGGTATAAATAGAAATTGTATTGAAAAAATTAGAAAGAGCCACACTGACGTTGTTCGCATGTAGCGAGCACTTGACGATGATGTACAAGACTTTGAGCACTGTTCTGAAAGTGTTGATGAATTCCTTTTGTCTGAGTCATGAACACCGGTGTGGCTACGGACCAACTACTTAATTGGAGATTCTAATAGAGCCTAGTAGCAGACATATATGTTAACGATTATATACATAACGTGACGTTTCGTGTTCTTTTAAGCGATCGTGGTGTTCGTTCAAAAGATTATTAATTAACTACTATTTACAGGTGATACAGATTTATAAGAATTAGTCAATTCAAACATTACAAGATTAAATAACGTAATGTGAATAATGATATATAATCGAGTCAACAACAAAAGTCTCCCAATTAAAGTTTCCGTATTAAACTATGTAGTGAATACTTGCGAAAGCGTCATTCAAACTTTGAAAAGCTTTTGACTCATGTTAATGTGGGTAAAGGATCTCGGAATTAAAGTTCCACATCTTGGCATTGCAAAGCTTAAATGAATCTTCTTACTGAATCTAGAGT